AAAAAAAATTTTTTTAACAAAAATGATCTTTTTGCGTAACAAAACATCTTTTAAAGTATTGCTATGCAATATTTTTTTAGTTAAGGATAAAAACGAAACTATAAATTAAATTAAAGAATTAAAATATACATTAAATCTTAATTAAAAGTGATATAAATATAATTTTTCTAATTTATTATAAAAAAAATAAAACTAAATTGTCTTAAATATTCTTTTAAACTTTTTAAATTGACGAGTTTTTGATTTTTCTCTTTTTTATTTTTTTTAAGTCTCTAACAGTTAATTTTTTTTTTAAAGTTTGATCAATAACATTAAACTTCTGTTAAAAAATATTATGTGGCCAACGTCCCTCGCGTGTCATTCATTTTTTTCTTTTTTCATTTATTTTAATACCAAATAAATACCATTAATTCCACGTAAGCGTTTGAAATCATAAAAGGCAAAATCTAAAATAGAACCTAGGACTTTGCATTCCAAAGACATTCTTTATCCATTAGCTCAACCATCGAAGTTGCAAATTATATTTCAACACATATATATTTCATAAAAAAAATTAGTATTTAATTTTCATCTATTAATAATTAACTAATTCATTTCAACTATAAATTACTTAACATTTTGACAAGTACTCAAGTATTAAACTCTTATGGTTGAAACTGGAAACATTAAATAATATTAATATTTCATATTATTTAATAAACTAATTTTTATTTCAAATTAATATTTATGGTTGAAATAAATGTTTAATTAACTAATTTTTATTTCATACTATTTAAAAATTACTTATTCTTAGATTTTAATTTTATTTTATTGATATTATGAAATAATATTAATATTATCAAATAATTATTTGATTAAATATTAAATGCGTAGTTGTTAAATATTTAGTCTATTAATAATAAGATATTTTTGGAATAAACTCTTAGTGTAAAACTACTCTACATTGTCATTCAATTAGAATAAATCATTTTGACTCATGAATTAATCACTTTGACACATGAGAAAAGAGAAATATAGAAGAATTAGTTACTAAAATGATTTAATTAATTTTTTTTTTAATTTTATAATTATGTGTCAAAATGAATCATTTTAATTGGATAGAATGAGAGTGTAAAGTAGTTTTAATTGATCTCTAATATTAAATATTTAATATTTAATAAAATGATTATTAATAGAGTAATATTTAATGAACTAAATATTTAATATTTAATAAAATAACTATTAATAGACTAAATATTTAATAGAATAAAATATAATATTAAATCATTATAAAGTATTATGAAATAAAAACTAACTAATTAAACAATTATTTCAACAATAAATATTAATATGAAATAAAAACTAGTTTCTTAAATAATATGAAATATTAATATCATTTAATATTTCAACCACAAGTAAATTAATTAGTTAAATATTAAAGCACTTAGTGAAAATGTTAAGTAATTTATTGAAATAAATTAATTAATTATTAATAGTTGAAATATTAAGTAATTTATTAAATATTGCATTATTTAGGGAATAGACTTAATATCTTTTTTAATTCTATATCTTAATTTTGAGGTTTATTTTGATCTTTTAACTTTAAAAATATTCATGCAAAGGTGTTGGGTTCAGTTTTCATGAGACCAAAATTTAAAACTTTATCTTTTATGATTTAATACACAAAAGTTTAGGTGGAATTAATAGTATTAAAATAAATAAAAAGAAAAAAATTGATGCTAAGCACATTGACTACATCATATTTTTTAAACTGAAATTTAACGTTAGGGATCACATTCAAAAGAAAATCAACCTTAAGAATTCAAAAAAAATAAAAAAAAACGTTAGGGATCACATTCAAAAGAAAATCAACCTTAAGAATTCAAAAAAAATAAAAAGATTTAGCAACCAAAACCAAAACTCTTCAATAAAAAAGCTATTTAAGTCAATTAAATTTTATACAAATGTATTTAAATCATATTTTAAAACCGAATAAAATATAGACGGATATTGGTAAATAAACCTATCAATTGTTCACCGGTAAAAAAGCAGTTCCATAAAATGAAATTTACAAAGTTCACAAACTATTGAATAGATCAAGAAATGCCCAAAACTAGTAAGACGACAATATTCCTGAGCTAACAGGGAATCCGAATCCTAAGATATTGGAGCTGGACAAATACTATAATTCAGAGGTTTCATGTTTCCTCGGAACTCAACTACATTGTCGTGTCACAAAAAGCATAGTTTTTGGATTGGATATAGCAACAAGTTTTCTTGTTTTGATGCAACACACGTAAAGCTTGTATTGTCCTTTCAGACTCAGTTATGAATTAAGGATAATGTTTACTAGGTGGCAAACTGAGAACTAGTCAAGCATTGAGAAAGGAAATGGAAATTGCAAGTTTTGTAACTCCCTTTTTGCAACAGTGATGATGTCGTGGGAATCCCGCAGGTACTGCTGAATCCAAATCCTTTGTGTATTAAAACACACATTTGCTACATGGTGAAAAAGGACAAATTTTATCTTGAAAAAAGTAGAAAGTATAGAGCATGAGCCATTGTTGAAATCCTAAACATTCTTTTAGGACTAGTATTTAAGGAGAAGGAATGAGGGTGTGAGTAAGGGGGACCATAAGCTTATACTGAAGAATGGAGCTCCATTCTTTCCAATATGAAGGGCTAAGTAGAGGCAAGAGCTGTCATCTCATGCATTCGGCTAACGTTAAATGTTTGTCGGCTATACACAACTTAATGTTTTACCAAGTGCATGATTTGAGAGCAACTCCCGCTGCCTACGTAGTCTTACCATTGGATTGAAGGGAGCTCCATGGAGAGTTGTATTAATGCGTGCCCCTATGTTACTCATTCAAGCTCTTTGAACAGGTTTGCTCTCTCTCTTTCTTGTGATTAAATTTAACTTTTTACTATTGACAGTCCATAACACAGCATCATGTGTTTGGTTTGTTATGAGATTTTACAGTAAAAGATAGGAAATCTTGCAGTTCATGCTCAAGCAAAGGTGGAGAAAGACAGTAGTTTTTTGTTGCAAACTTCTGCTAAGTAATCATGTTTAGGTTTTTATTTATTTTGTTGTAATGAAATTAATGTTTGGCTATATTCTATTTGATAAGTTTATGTTATTGTTATATTATGTATGCATGAATGATAATACACTTTGAAAATCACTTGCTTTGGTTTGGTTATCAAATTCCAAGTGAACCATTTATTGTTTAGAATGTCATTAGTACCAACAAGCTTTACAGAAGAATGGTTAACACATTGATATTATAAGTATAAAATAAAAATTGTATTTTTAAGTATAAATAAGTCATATATCAGATAACATCAAAATAATTCAAGATTAAAGCCATAAAACAACAAGAAAAGATGTGTCCAAATACACAAAGTTGACAACAACAAAAAAGTGATCATCAACACTAAATATTCTTTTGGTTTTCATTTTAGAAAAGTCAAAAACAATTTAAGCGTAAAACTGGTTTTGAATTTATTTTGACATGTTTGATTTATATAAAGTAAAATTGATTATACTTTACTTAGAGTATAACTTTTGATTTTAAATGTGATTTCAACTCACTTAAAATGAATGTATCCAAATTAAATTATTTTATCCCTAATAACTCATTTTAAATAAAATCATCTTTTTCTTATTAGAATAAACCATGATTAGCCTAAATGGATGACAATTTAAGCATGTGGTTGGTTCTAAGATGAGGAAAATTAATCAGGCAAATTAATTATATAAAAATTTATTTTAATTAAAAATAACATGAATATAAATTGAGTTGAGTTGAAAAGTCTAATGTAAAAAAATCACATTTAAGCTCTAAAGCTACAAATCCTAACGAAAACATGTTAAAATCAATTTTACAATGTTTACTCTTCCAAAATCAAAAACAAAACATCGTATCCAAACCAAAATTGAAACAAAATATTAGAAAAGGACTAGAGGACACATTCAATTGTATTATTGTTGAAGCACACAACAATCATATAGTAACAAAGAACAAAAGAAACTTATTTCACAATCTCATGTACTTTTGCTCATAGGCTCTTCCATACTTGTTTACATTTAAATGCTAATAACAAGCAATAAGAGCCTTATAAGCCAAGCCAAGGCAAAATACAATTGTAGTTCACAGGAAATCTGACTATGGAAAATTAACAAAACACAACAGCTTGAACAATAGGCATTCCTCCACCTACAATCTGATTTCGGCAAAAGTCATCATTTGGGTTATAAAACTTCCCTGCAAAAAGACCAACTCTTAATTTCATAGAGATAAAGTATCATATCAATAAAAAATTATTTTGAAACACAGAATAGTAAAAAAGCCAATAGATTGAAGACTACATTAGAAACTGATATTATGAATTGATAAACTATAAATGAGTCTTTTCCATGAGTCATCAACCATAACTTAAGTGGAACAGAGTTTGGCCAGAGGGAGGGCGGGCATCAAGGATAACCAATGAATTGAGATCTCTTGCATATGCACACTAATGAAACCTTCAGCTAGTGACACTTGGTGAAATATCGTACGGGATATTTCTCAGATTCATGCAAAAGTACGGGATCTTTACTACTAGAGTAATGCAATAAGTGCGCCGTACTTTGTTTAAATTTACTTCCTAGAGTCATTCACTCATTCCTCTTATTACTGTAACACTAGCCATCTACAGCAATATCGAATCTAGAAATGAATGGATCTATGTAAGAGTTCATGTCAATAAAAATCAGATCAGGAGGATGCTCTATAAAGTTGATATTTGAATGGCGTAGTTAAATGGCTGGTTAATGTTGCAGACCTACGACATCCACTGAAGTTTGGAACGCTCTAGAATGAAATGTCAGCAGTAACAGAAATTTCTAGTCAATGACATTTTTCTAATGCATGTCCAATTATTTTCAGTAGGATTTATGTAGGTTACTTCATATCTTAAAAGAGCAATTGATTGAAATAAAGGTTGGAATTACCTTTTATTTATCCATGGGAAAATCATTCGGACTCAACTGCCTCAACTTTTGGTCCTGTTTCAGAAAATTAACAAGGCATAAGAAATTATCATAGAGACCGAAAGGTCAGAGAATAAGACAATTAGTTACAACTTAGATGATTATTTGGGATATAAATTTCAGATCATTCCCTTAAAAGAAAACTCAATATAAAGGTTCAAAAATAAACTAACAAATTATGGTTAGTGTTTGACTTGCTTCAATTTCACTTGGTAGTTGAAAAAAGCAAAAGAAAAAATACATATTAAGATTCTTTTTCATTCCAAAATTTTTAACAATAAAAGCTTAATTGAATCATTCCATTCACCGACTAATTCACCTTATAATGCAAGGACTCCATACCATAGCAAAAAAAAAAAAAAAAGAAGCTGAGTGGAGGCAGTTTTGCAATCCCAAAACTCTCCTCTTGTTACACTAAATGAACAAAGCCTTACACAGCACAAAAACAAAGATTGAACCACTTCAATTTCTCTTCCCAAACACACCCTGTAATCACAGGTTAAAAGATGGAAATTTGAGAGAAATCATAACAGCCCAACTTGCCAATTCCTAAAACACTTTCTACATTGAACATATAAACATAAAACAGAAAATCTAGTGTATTTGTCGGAAAATTTGGTTTTTGTGGAAAGTGTTATTTTAACAAGTTTAAGCATGATGATAAAAACTAGTTTTTTGCATATTTATAATTTTACACTAAATTTACATCTTATATTGCAAGCACTCCATTATTCAAGCGCAAAGTAGTACTCCCCCTGGTCCTATTTATAGGGGAAAAAAATTAATCTATGTATTCATTGAATAACCAATATATCTAGTCTGTATACTGTCCACTGTCCAGGTACATTAGTAATTCAATGTATTTAAAATTAAACTTTTTCTTATAAATAGGACCGGAGGTAGTAATACTATAGCTGAGTGGAGGCACCTTTGTAAGTCCACAATAACTGAAATTAAAGTTAATTTTGTCTTGAAACTTAATTTTAGAGAATAAACATTTATATATAAACTACCTCACTCCAAACTCAATTTTAACCAAATCAATTTTACAAAATACTACTACATCAAACCAAATGCTCACCTAAATACACCTTAAACCTTTTAAAACCAGCATTTACCAAATTGATCAAACTTAAAATAAAAAATTGAATACCAAAGACACCTTTTGATCACCCACCATAAAAAAAAAAAAAACAAAAAAAATACACCTTGAGAAATTACAAACATCCCACTTAACAATCCACTAAACAGAATCCTCCCAAAACAAAACCATCAAAAACAGAAAACCAAACAAAAGCAAAACCCTTTGTGACAAAAATCACAGCTTTATAGAAACCACACAGCTAAACAGCATAATTGATAAAACTTTAACCTGAGAAATTGGAAAATCCAAATACACCTTTTAGTCACTCAGCATCCAAAAAACACAGCTTGAGAAAAATTACGTACACCACACTAATAACAATTCACTTAACAGAATCCCCTTATCCATTAACTAAGTGTCTATAGCATATGCATTTGACATAAAGTGCTTATGTACTATAAAGCACGGACACCTCTAAGAGTAGGCGTGTCGCAGTGTCCGACATGCGTAGGTGTCTGACACTTGCATGACACCCTTACGACACGTGTCGGAAAAGTCAGACAAATGTCCACTAAAAAATGGTTTTTTTCTTTGTTTTGACACTCTTCGAATCAATGGTTGACACCCATACGACACTCATAACACATATGTTTGACAATTCAGACGAGTGTTTTAAACAAAAATTTATTTATTTTCTTTACTTCAACACACTTTTATACATATTTTGGACAAATCTCACACAAATTAAAAATTGTTAACCGTATATCGTATATTATTAAAGACATTAATTTTGATTAGAATATTTTCAACTTATTTAATCATAGATGGATAAAGAATGTTTAAATACTCTCTTATATATAGCCGTGTCAGTGTCCTATGTTTTAAAATTATCGGCGTCGGAATGTCCGTGTTGTGTCGTGTTGGAATCCGTGCTTCATAGCTTATGTATAAGCAATTTTCTATAGCAAAATATAAAACAAAGTCAAACTATTTTCATATAAGCTATATAAGCTATACGTTTTTTCATAAGTTGCCCTAGAGAACTTACGAACATAAGCAGAAAACAGCTTATAGACCAGGCCTATTTTCACAAACAAATTAATTAAGTGCTCATGGCAGAATCGGTAATCATACAAGTGCTTACGGAAGAAGTGTTTATCATATAAGAGCTTATGCATAAGTGACTTCCATAACAAAAGCTAACATAATTTCAAACTGCATTCATATAAGCTATCCTAGAGAACTTTGTAGAAATAAGCTGAATAGTCTAACAAATGGATTATCTAACTAGATAAACTCAATAAATTGATCCAAAGAGGCTCATATGTCTCTCCCATAAGCCCTCACAACCTCTGTAGCACCGATACCTCTATAAAAAAAGGCATTTGTGTCAATATCTGAAACCAACGCTGACACCGACACTGTAAGTTTAATTTATCATTTTCTCAACGGTCTAGTGTCGTGTTTCCAGTGTCCGTGCTTCATAGCTCACAACTTCTTAGATAAGCTCAAATCCAAACATACCTTCATCAACAAAAACCCTCAAAAACTACAAACCAAACCAAAACCTTTTATATCATATAAAAATCAAAACTTCAGAGAAATCACATAAACTCACTTAAGAATTCACAATAAAAACACAATTATGCATTAAAAACTAGGTTAAAAAAATATAAAACAGAAGAGAAGAGAAAATTAACCATGGAGAGAAGGGTGACGACCGTCCTTGCCCCAACCAATCCCACGAGTAGACTCAAGATACTGTTGAACAAGATGACGACATTTCTGAAGATGATTAATACCTTCAATGCGATAACACCATCGAAGCTTTTCCCTAATAATCTTAGCCTTTTCGATTTGGATCCATTTTTCTCTGACGATGTGTTCCCTCATCTCTAACATAGCCACCGGATCCTTGTAAGGATTCGCCGGATCAAAATCGTCCGGTGGAGATTCCTCGAATTCGACATACCCTTTCTTCCTTCCCATTTTTTCGTTTCACTCTTCCGGAGTCTCTCGCACAGTTCTTCTGAATCGTGAACTGTGATTCATTTGTTGTGTGTTTGTGTTTGTGGAATTTTGTTGGGCCTAGATTTCTTTCTTTTGGTTATTTGGGCCTATTTTTAATTAAAGCCCATCGCTACTTAACCATAATGTCACCTCATGCATTACTTATCAATTTTGGTGAAATTTTAAGAATATCTTTAGAATTTAAAAATTGAACTTCAGACGCATTATAAACACAACAAATTCAATGTAAAATACAAGTTAAAAATAAGTTTGAAGATTGAAATCTGAACTCACCCTAATCACAACAAACTCAATCTCATAACCACCCAAAATAAATTCAACCTTATAACCACGCAAAATAAATAAAAATTAATTTGGACACATTAATTTAAGTGTGTGTAGTCTTTCATTTTCCATTCTATTACATTTAAAATGATTTCTCAACTTCACTCAAGAATAGAACATAACTAGTCATTCATTTTCCATTCCATTACATTTAAACCAAATTCTCAACTTCACTCAAGAATAAAACATAACTCACTCATCTGAATCTAACAATTTTTCAACACTGCTCTTAATGTCTACTTATATTTATTTAAATCAAGCACTTCATCAACTTGTACTCATTTCCATTCAAACTAAGCACATTCATCTCTAATATTTGGTAAGTTTCTCATATCCTTGTTTTTTTATTATATGATTTTTGATGCATGTAACTCCTTTAATAGCTTAATAGATTATAGTTAAACTACTTAGACTTGGTATGAATTTGTGATATTTTAGGGTTATGATTGATGTTTGCTCTAGTTTTAGTTCGATACGTGTAATTCAGATTTCAAAGTTTGGACCCTTAGTACATATAACAAAATTTGGATTTCTCTATTTATCATTTTGCTTCTTAATTATGTTTGCTTATATATTACTTTTGCTTCTTTGATTATGATATGACTTTTATTGTTTGATTGTATAAAAATGCTTGATGAACAACACTGATACAAACATAGTCGATTGTCCTAACATGCTTCAGTGCGTAGAGAGAAACCTAAATTGACGCAAGTTATCGAAGAATTATCTTGTACTACTGATGGATCCTGTTCCGTTGAGGAATCAGAAATGAAAGAGGTTGCGGAAGCTACGGTGGAACGAAGCTTCGTGAACGATTTAGTGATGCAACTTCTTGGACCAAAGGTTACGATTGTTATGCATCTTGAATTGGAGACGTTAACCTTGATCTAGTGTTGCTCATTTTTGGTACAGTGGACCCATGGGGTGTCTGTATGGTTGAAATTTCAACGTCCAAGTCAGTTTAGGGTTAAAGATACTCATAATGTGAATGGAGATTATAGATAGTGTACCTAAAATCTCCTATAACCGTATTTATATATTGGGCCTAGTGGAGCAGGAAGAATGAATGGGCTTTAGCTTATTGGTCCTTTAGCTGGACCAAAACAATTGCACCCAAGACTCGTCGGGTACTCAAGATGTCGGGGAAGTGTTTTAGCAGTCGTGGCCGACTTTCAAGAATGGTTATCCATTTGTCATCATGTATGCACTACTTTGATTTTGATAAAGAGTGATGGGGAACATGAGCATTAAATGTAGTTCCATTTTTTTAATCGCTTTTCCATTTTTCTCTTGACTGTGATCTGAAAAGGTGGAGAGTAGTGTGATGCTGCTTACTATGCATTTAAGTGCCTTTAAGCTTAATTGTGTTTCCAAGGTGAAATCTGACAGTTGGTTTGCACTTTCCTCTTACTTTTAATTTGATTCATTTGACTGCCTTCACACACACACACACACACACACACACACACACACACACACACACACACACACACACACACACACACACACACACACACACACACACACGCGCGCGCGCGCGCGCGCACACACACACACACACACACACGCACACACACACACATATATAAGGATAGAGAAAATTTTGGGGGAATTTTTGCAACCATCTAAATTGAATTCCCCTTATTTCCTTTAAGTCTTTCCCTTTTGTCTGAGAGTGCTTATCCTGGAGTAATTGTTATCACGCATTCAAAGTTTTAAAGCTTCATCCTTCTTCTTTGTTTCATTGCTTTTAACTTCACACTTGAAGGTACCTTCTTCCAACTCAAACTTTTTTCTTCAAGCATTTACTATCTCTTAGTTAAAATGAGCGATAATCCTATTATCATATAGAGTGATACAAAATGTAGCGCTTCTTCTTCTTTGAAAAGGGGAATGGAATCTGAATCGCATTCCCTATCTTCTGTCAATGGAGATTTTAAGTCAGGGATCATCTCCCTGATTGATGATTATGAACTGGAAAAAGTGACTCGAGACTCATTTTCTAAAAGAGTTTCTTCTAGTTATTCTTTATAGGCTCTGCTTTCAGAGAAGGCCGACAGGGGTAAGGATCCCATCTAGATACTAATGTCTCCCTCTGTATTGACTGAGGCAGAAATAGAAGCTACCCGACAAAGGAGGAAATGTGTCGACGACTTTGTCCAGCTCTATCAGGGGGTGATTGGTTGTGAGTTTAGCGATGCTGAAATTGCAAGTCATTTGGAGGACCAAGAAAAACCCAATGTTGTGTCTTGGATCAAACACGACGATCACTTTAAAGTTGATGAAATATCCTGAAAGTGGATTCGGTTAATTGAGTCAGATAATTCCACTAGATATCATTAGGTGGCCGCTGAACTGAAAGGGGTTCCTTCCACTTTGAGCACTGTCGTGACTATAACCAATGTTGACATTATGGTGGGATGCTTGTCGAATTGATTGTTCTTCTAGTGGATTCGGCGGAGAGGATATGCAACTCTTTTAAGGGATACTTGATTCCTCTATACGAGTGCCTCTTTAATAGGTTAGGGGTATGTTTTCCCTTTTTTGACTTCAAGATACATGTGATGAATCATCTAGGAGTTGCTCCCTCATAACTTTAATGTGAAGCTTGGGCTTACACGGTGGTGTTCCAACTCTATGCAGGCTATAAATCTTGGAAATCTTCTTTTGAGATTTTTTTAAATCTTTTTTATGCAGTCTATACTTCTCGAGATGACACCCAGGATCAGGGATAGATCTCCAGTTGTCCTCATGTCCTTTGGTTTGACTCTTTTAGTAATGATTAAGGCGATTTCCTTGAAGGTTTCATGTTGGTGAAACCTATTACTCTTGAGGTTCATCTTGCATTTTTCCTGTCCTCGGTCCCAATTGCATGTACTCGCTCTTGAAATAGTGTTTTTCTAAATTACCGGTCTTGAGTTCATTTGTGTCGGCCCTTTCCTCTTACCATACTGAGTTAAGCCATCTATCCTCCTCCAAGGTAAAAAAGAAGGAAGATCTGTGTGCTTGGTATCAAAGGCTCAACTACAAAGAAGTACTTGGTCTTGGAGAAGTGTCACATTCTCAACAAAGTAAGAGATAAATTGATACTTACACTCTTATTGGTGTGTTTGGTCATGTAGAGGAGAAATAGCTTTATGGTGAGGATATGAATTAAGGGAGCCTTATTCATTTTTTTAATAAGTGTAACTTGTACCTTTTAGATAACATAAATCGGTTGTAGAAGCTCTTTCTGATTGCCAAGGACCAGGGTCTTACAACTGACTCATCGAGTCAAATGGTAGAGATTTCTACTAATGTGGCTACTCCTGGTCCAGTGGTTTAAATGCCAGTTATAATTACTACCCTGATGGCAGCTACTACTACTATCTCAGGAACAACTCTCGAGGTGGGCCAACTAATTACTATGGTGTTCGACCTCTCTGTTAGTGAGGCATCATTGTCCCCTTCTCCTATCAATAGGAATCACGGTGAATGTCTGTTCGCTCCTATTGTAGGGTGTTCTTTAAAATGGGATCATTTTTTAGAGGATACTATGTCAAATTCTCTTACTCCTTTCTTTTGGCTCCCTGTCATTCTTCCCTCTCGAGTACTCAGCATCCTAGAGGAATTTGTTGCTAATCTAGCTCTTAATGACCTAGCTTTCGCTTGGAACCTGTCTTTGGCTGACATGAGAGGTTTTTTTGTAGATTTTACTCGTACCCTGTTTAGGGTCGGATATATTTTTTTGATGGTAGCGGTCGGCCAAAATTATGTATTAGGCTCTGGTAACCTTGCTAGAGAGCAGGTTGAATTGAAAGAAAAGTGTGAAACCCTTGAGTGAGAGAATTCCAAGGCTATGGAGGAATTATTTGAGTTGTGGAAGAAGGTTGATCTTGCTGACTCTTTGTAGGAGAAAGTGCGGTCTCAATCTTCCTTGGCTTCTCATATAAATGAGCTGAAGGCTTCTCTTGCTAAGGGGGAAACATTGGGAAAAGGCTTATAAAGAGGAGGTGAAGGCAAGTTGTGAGTTCAAAACAGATCAAAAATCTCTTCAACAAAAGAAAGATGATTGAGCCAAAGTTTTGAAAGACCTCGAGGAGGACCCAATTGCTACATAGAGGAAATCTAAAAAGTCCACTCTGAGGGTTATAGATTCAGTGTACCAGGTGCGCGATCAGACGATGGAGTAGGCACAAGGAATTTGTCTTGGAATTACTGTCACTACTAACAAACTGGATCCCTTCTGGATTGTCCCTAAAGAGAATTCTTGAGGTGGTCCAGATGTATCAGAGTTGGGTGCTGGCGCTTGCAGATAATTTTGCTCCCCTTTTTCATTTATTTTTATTCTGTTCCTGTAAGATTTTGTCTAGCTTTTACGCCTTAGCTTGTAAAAAATAATTAATATCATTACCTTTTTCATGCTTTTGCTTTCTGTTTCATGTGTTCTCCTTTTAGTCATATTTTTCAATTGACTAAGAGTTGAGAAACGTTTGCTTCCCCCTACAATTTATAGATTTTGTTTGCTGCAAAGAGCGATAAATAATATTTTCTAAAAGTTTAAATAACCTCAAGCTTTTCGTGAGGCCATGTCATACTACTTTTTCACGAGTATGTCGCATTAAGATGTACTTGTTTTATTGGTAAGATGTTGG